TAAATCGTTGCATCAGAACACATGAGGGGACAAAACGTCGTACTCTCTCAGTGGCTTACCATCTTGCAGCATTCGAACGCGCCGCTATATTTTGCCAGTTCCGCCTTTTCACTCTCCAACGCTTTGATATAATCCAGCTTCTGCAATGCACAGTCGTTCATCGGCTGATTGAGCATCGTTTCGTTTTCCGCCCTGCTGCTTGTTGGCGAAGAATGAACATACAAGATTTGCACAGCCTCCAAGCCATGGTCGGTCATCAGGTATTTCTGTGGGATGCATTTCGTACCACAGATATCCATCTTGCCCGGAGCAACACAGCGACACCGGTGAGAAGAATTTCACCGGCGAAGCAGTGTTGTGCGAGGTTTAAAGTTAAACCAGAGAAGAGGTTGCTTTAAAATTTTTCGCCAGGCATTGTAGTACTCTTGTTCGATTTACACTGTGAAAGTTTAATGCAAGTTGTCGGCAGATTTAAAGTACAGCAAAGAGTTTCTCAGCTGCCATTCCACAAATGAGCAGCTGATCTGGTCCTTCTATTGCTAACTGATAATTATTCCCGTCAGCAAATAATCCCTCACTACCGTACCCCCCTCCCCAGCACTACCACCATCACTTGTGTTTTTGTGATACCTGTCTAGGAGCGGTTGACGAGCAGTTGATCTGCGAATGATAGGGACGGCACTAAATGAATTAGGTGGTATCGTTTATTGGACTATGCACGACTGCACTGATTGAACCGTCATTGAAGTCCTTGTCATTTTGAATGATCTCGTTTCTATCATTTGACCGAATGGGAAGACGACAAACGAAATAGCCGCCCTTCTTCAGCTGCGAAATGAGTACTGACTCCATCTGTGTAAACTTCCTTAGAAAAATCAGGAAATCAGCTTTCGAACGCGAGTGTGTATTCAGCTTGTCACAGTGAGATCGGTCGTACTCTGTGTACATGAATATTAGTCGTTTCTTGCTGAAAGCATCACAATGGCACAATTATTACACCATTGTGTTTACGTGTCATGACTCCGAGGGCGTCTGTTTCATAAATCATAGAACTAGCTACTCGCAGCTATCAAAATCACAACCGTGATCCGAGCATGAAAGGACGCTCTGCGGTGGTCCAGACACATACTTCGCTAAGCCAATGCAAAGATCGTATGTAAAAGGCTGCACAACACTCTTTGCCCCGGGTGAACTCTAGACCTGAATCAACACAGCGAAAACTCTCATTGGAAAGATCATGCGACCAGAGGTCTGCGGACTACGAAGATGGAAGTGGAAATAGCAGGCACTGCCAATGATCCTGGCGTTGTCACCAGGGATACGCGACGTCATCACGATATATATATATATATATATTTGGAATTTGGAA